GTGGTTATGGATAATTTGAATTCATTGCAATTGAATAATTTTTGACTGATTCTTTCCCTAAAGGGTTTGTCTTTATATTGTTTGTTTCTATACACATTGGATGTAGGTGCGTTGATAATTTCAGAATTTAATGGGTGCTTTTTATTGGAAGATATTATTGCTGCATAATTTAAACTTAATAATTTAAAGTAGATGTCGTCTTAGATGTAGAGGGATTCTCTTGATATTATTTGTAAGCTGCTTACAGGACTGATTCTGAAGGCACCGACGGGTAATCTTAGAGCTATTGTTTAAATTGTGTTAAGTTTTTTTAGGAACTTTTTATTTGCTGTATCGTAGCATATTACACCATAGTCCAGTTTACTGCGAATAATTGATTTGTAGAGGTTAAGTAGAATACTAGAATCAGCTCCCCATATATTACTGGATAGAATTTTCATCAAGTTTATTCTATTTTGACAAGTTAGTTGTAAATTCGTAATGTGGGTTTTCCAGTTTAATTTGTAATCAAACGTTAGGCCCAAAAATTCGATTCCTCTGAATGAGATATATTTTGACCGTTAGATATTAACGAAACAGGAATGGTATTCTTGCGTTTGCTGAATACTGTGTAATGTATCTTATTAGTTGAAAAGAGAAAGCCTGTTTTGGAAGATCATTCTTCGATTTTGTATAGAAGGTTCTGTAGTATTTTAACTCCAGATGTAATATTTTTGCATTTAATATAGACAACTAAATCATCAGCGTACAAGTTTGCTTGCTTTATAGGAGGCTTAATTGTATTTATTACATCGTTAAATGCAATTAAAAATAAAGTTGGGCATAAAATAGAACCTTGTGGAACACCGTTGTCGAGTTTCTTATAAACGAAAGCATATGTCCTTGAACTCCCCATTTATCAAGTTTATTTAATATGAGGTATCTCCATGTTGTGTGGACAGATTTATTCATCAAAAAAGACTACTATAACTTTCTAATCTAATAAGAATGCATCATGAATGCAGATCTTCCTCGTCGAAAACCACTTTAGACTGTGCTCAGGAGCTTTTCATTTTCTGGATACCATGTAAGCTTGTAACTTTAAAATCTTCTCGAGAAGATTACATGTGCTACAGGTGAGGGAAATAGGACGGTAAGATGTGGAACAATCTTTTTGATTGTGTTGTTTATAAATTGGGATTATAATAGCTTTGGTCCAAGTATCAGGAAAGTAATGATTTAAAAAGATGTGATTAAAGATGTCTAAAAGTATCTTTTTGCCTTTTTGGGGTAGAACTTTTAAAAATATTGATGGAATATCATCAGGACCTGGAGATGTGGTTTTTAAGTTTAAAAGAGAAAAATCTAATTCTTGCAAAGTTATGGGTGCATTTATGGGAGAGATCTGGTTGTGAATTTTGATGTCTACAGATTCTGTGGTAATCTTGTGTGTAGAAAAGATCGGATCTAGTACAAAATCGCTAGAGTTTTTTTGAAATACGTCTACTAGAACTTCAGGAATTGCGTTTCTACAAGAGATAATTTGGTTGTTATATGAAAGTGCATTTATTGAGTAAGGTAAACTTGATCCTTTTATCATCTTTATTTTGTTTCAGATTATATTTGCTGAGGTAGATGTGTTAATGCTTCTAACATATTCAATCCAGGTCTCCTTCTTACTTCTTTTTTATTAAGAATCGTGTACTAGCTCTTAATCTTTTAAATTTTATTAGGTTTTCCTCTGTTTTGTGTTTCTTAAGAAACATTAAAGGCGTGCTTGCTAGCAGCCAAGGCCCGAGAGATTTCTTGATTCCACCAAGGTACCGGTTGCCTTTTACACAGTTTAGTTTTTCCTGCAGATGTAAATGCACAATTTAAGATAATGTTGTTAAAGTCCGTGACGGTTTTGTGAATGTCATTTGTTATCTCATAATTTTCCATCTCGTCTTCCAAGTCTTTTTGAAAAAGTTTCCAGTTTGCTGATTTTATTTTCCAACTTTGATATGCATTCGGATTAAGAGGTTGGTTTGTCTCAATTGAGATAAATAAGGGGAAGTGGTCACTGCCATGCAGAGATTTGTTGTGTTCCATTGAAACATGTGTGCTAGTGATGGGCTACACAGGGTCAGGTCAATTGCAGAGAATGATCTGATATATGAATTGAATACTTGTTGACTTTCCAGTGTTTAATAAGATTAAATTTGATTTATTTATCAAACTGTGTAGAAGGTTGCCACATTTATCGATTTTTTGGCTACCCCACGCTGGGTGATGGCAGTTAAAATCGCCTAGAATTACTTTGGGATGGGGTAATTTTTTTTTGGGGAGTGCTGTTAGTTCATTTATGTCGTCTCAGTTAGGATGCGGTAAGTATATGTTGCAAACATTGATGTTTTTACTGTAGGTAATTGAAACAGCCACAGCTTCCAGGTTTGTAGTAAGTGGAATGATTTTTGCTTCAGTGTCATTTCGAATGAAAGTAGCTACTCCACCACTAGCATGCATTCCATTTCTGTTTTTCAGAAATGGCACATAATTTCTAAGTGTTACAGAATTGTTTTTAAAGTGAGATTCTTGCAGACAAATTACAATGGCATTATTTATCCTGACTAATTGTGTCGTTGTCAGATTCTTCTGTAGATGAATAATAATTTGAGGATATTTTTTTCTTAATAGTTGTAATTGTTCTTTTTAAAGAGGGATTTTGAATATTTTAGTAAATAAAAGTGAGGATGTCAATAATTTCAAATATTTCATTGGTGTAATCTTTTGCTATAAGTTCAGGGTTTTTAGAGTTAGTGGCATTTTCTAAAAATAGGCATATTTCTGAATAACCTATAGGAAAGGGCGGATTTTTTTGTTCTATTAAGTTTTAAATAGAGTCGAGGACAGCAAATGTGTTTTCAGTCGACTTGGCTCTTTTTTTTGGTTTAGATGTTTTGAGAACAGAGAAGACGTCTTGTGATGTGGGAATATCAGAAACATCTGGAGAATTTGATAGTTGTCTTTTGGCCTTATCTTTATTTAAAGGTGGGTTATCGTTACTATTTTAGTTATAGATAGGGTAGGAGCTGGAGGGTTATAGGGAATGTTTACTTCAGAAAGAGTTTTATTGGTGGTTTCAGTTAGTTGTATATTGGTTTGATTATTTGAATTAGGAGTTTCAGGTACTTCTGTTTCCATTTCTTCACTGGGCGAATCCGTTTTATGAATGCAGTCAACTTCTCGGTGTCCTACTGTTCGACATTTAGAACAATTAAATTCGTCTATAGAAAGGTATATTCGATATGTTGTGGAATCAAAAGAAATGTTGAAAGAGTCTGTTATGGGTAAGTTTTCTAATGGATTGATGTAGATTTGCCGCCGAAAACTCAGAACATGGTTATATTCTATGTCAGACATACCCACTCGAAGAAATGTCATTGTTGATATGACTATAATTCCCATTTTCTTGAGTTCTCTTCTATAACTTCGTTTGGATGGTTGACAACATTCAGATGACTAATCTTAAAACTGGAGTTTTTAATCTGCGGATTTCTACTTGCACTTTGCTAATTTTAACGTGTTTATGTAAATTAATGAGTTGGTCTACTATTCTTTTAGAAGATAAATAAATGCAAATGCGGTTGTTTGCAATTTTCGAGGCAAAAACTATGTTCTTTGAAAGGACAAGTGACCCAATGGCAACTATATAATCATGAATTTTAATTCCTTCTATGGCAGATAGTACAATAGCTTGGTCTTTTGCCGAATATTTGAATGTAGTTAGTATGTTTGAGTATGTAGACGGTGTGGTGTTTTGTGAAGGATTATTTTCCTTTGGATTAATTTTTGGTTAATAATTTTTGTCTTTAAATTTATTTATCATAGTCAATTTTTTACCGTGCCAATCCGGCTCTGTATTATCAGCAGACTTTTAAATAAAAGTCGCTCTGGGAACCGGTCGGAGCGGCCTTTGTAATGATTTTGTTGACTTTCAGAATATGTTGTATTATGTATTATTGAGAATATTAATTGTACTCACTGCAATTTTAGACCAATCGATGAAAAGCACTGTAGATTTTGTAGTAAACACTATTAACTATTTTTATTCACTTTAATCTATTAAATTTAAACGATATTATCGAAGCTAACCTTAACGTGGTTTGTTAAACCAAGGTCAGAGCCGTCTCCCGGAAAATAAGTTGTTTAAACAAATTAGATGGTTTATCTAAATTATATACAATTTAAAAGCCCAGCAGTTTTAAAGAAGCTTTGTGGACAATTCCGTTAAAAGGCAATCCTTTTAGAATTTTGTACAATAAAACTTTAAAGTATGTTCTATCTAATGACGTTAATTGGATCTCTTGATTGCTATAAACAAAGCTGCTGTGAATTACTAAAAAAACTAACTTCCCCAAACTAACTAACTAACCCAAATTGCCCTAGGACAACCTAGTCTTTTTTAAATTTGTGAACAACTTTAATCTTTCCAAACATTAACAAATAGTTATCCTACAGGAAATGAGTAAAAAGTTATTCTAATTGTTTATAAGCAAACGATAGACATGCTTGTGCAGGATTTTTGCAAGGTAGACTGGAGAATATTTTCTTTATAAGAGGTCTCTATGTCGAAGATAACGGATGTCGTCATCTCTTTTATTGAGACAATTTGGCCTTTTTTAAATCTTTATGATTCTCGTATAATTCTTGGTATACAGAAGCAGATGAGGGATTGGTTCTAGAGTTTTTAAAATAAATTTTGTGACTTGTATGATGTACAGTATACAATACAGATAGTACTGACCTAGATCTAAAATTGAATCGGAATTGCGAACAGAAATGGAATGTTCATAAATCCTATTTTGGATTCTATGGTTTGTTTGGCTTACGTAAGATCGGAGGCAATCTCAAAAGAAATTTCATAAACTTCGTGTTATTCATTTGTATATATATATATATATATATATATATTATATATATATATTATATATATATATATGTATATAATAATTATGTTTATTTATAAAAATTTCTTTTAGGTTTTATTAGATTAAAACAGATCGATAACAGCAAAATTCTCAATCTATATTCTTCAGTACCCGAATTGGTGACAGCTAATACTTCGACTAATATTGATTCAATTGAGTATGCATATAATACGATAACTGATCTGAATACACCAAAACCTTTAGAGAAAGTAGTTTCGTCAGAAAGAAGAGACACCTTACCAAGCAGTTGCTTTAGATCAAAGCGAGTTAGAAAGCCCGATCATGAATTACAGGTATACTTATTTATTATTTTCTACAATCTATTCGTATTATTAATACCTACTGATTATTAGATATATTATAAATATCTGAGTTGTTTCTCAGAAATTATAAACATTTCTTCTATAAGTGCGTCGCAGAATCTTTCACTTTTAACTATTTATGACTTTTTCGATAGCTTTTAATCAGAGGATCATATCGACAAAAATTAAAATGGATTATCAATATAAAGAGTACAGCTTTCGTGCGCAATTTTTGCTTTTTATCGCAAATAGCAAAAATCGTTTTTTTTCAAAAATAAAATAATAATAATAATAATTTTTGACCTTAAAAAGTGACATTTTGATTGGAAATTTAATTTTAAACAACTTTTTAGTAGATGTATGTGTACCAAAACCCGCGTAGAATTCACCCAAATGCACCCTAGAGAATAGGGACTACTTCACCCCTTTCTTAAAAACGCACCCCTTTAAATGGTAGCACTCCGCGGTTTTTTCATATTTGGGAGTCCAAAGTCCTATAAAACAATAAAACCCCTTTATCGTTGTAGTTCCTTTCTAAAGTACATCATACCCTATAGAGGCATATCCATGAAGAGATTGATAAATACGTGTATAAATAACATATCATATTAGATAGCAATCCTACTTAGAGACTTGATTTAAATCTAAGATAAAGATAGAGATTTTAAAAACCTATAAAAATATTACTATTTAAATGGGAATAAGCCACCACTGAAGGTTTTGTTTACTTACATTGAAAGTTCTCTAATCGTTCTCAAAATGCAAACATTATTAAATTAAACAAATTTTGCTTTTTGATACTCGATGAAAAATTCTTCTAATAATTTAATTTTATCTGACTTATTTATATTAACAGTTCAGACAATTATTATATATTTTAAAGTAGACGACTTTAAAATAATATTGTCAATATTGCAGAGTTGCGTTTCTGGGACGACTTTATTTTAAGATAGTTAACTAGATCTATAGTTTATTCTATTACATGAAATCAACTTTAACTTTAGAATATTCATCAGAAAAAATCATATCATGTGATTCTTGATGTGATACATTTTATTGATCTCTGAGAATCGTAAAAGATGGCAAAAATTGCGCAACCTTTATGTGTTGAATAGATTTATAGAAACTGAAATTCAAAATCGCCTGTCGCTTCAAACGTTGTTTCTGAGGAAACAGTTCATTCTACATAAAAAGTGCTAATAAGTATTTTTCTTCAAAATTATCTCAGCTATATTTCTTTAAAATAGTTTTTATACAACGTACAAATTCTAAATAAAATCGATTTTTTCCCGTTTTCTTCCACTACAGGGTGCGTTTTAAGGAGAAGCCGGGGGGTAGGAGTGCTACACTTTTGTTGCCGAGAGGGGCATTTGGTCCTGTCGAACCCATCGCCGGCTCTTCGGACTTCTTCCTGTACCCAGAATTTGATCGGGTGTTGACCATCTTTGTTTGTCGCTATTAAAAGGGTTAATAATCGCTACTGGTATAAAGTAACAGTTACCGTGAGAAGTATCGGTTATAGGTAACAGTTACAAGGAACGGTTACGAAATAACAGATCAAAGATAGAAAACAGAACAGGTAAAGTAATCTTAGTATTCCTTGACTTACGGAAGGAACAGCTTAGTAAATCAAATAAATCAAATTGTATAAAAAAAAAATATAATGCAAGAGAAATGTTCCTAAGTGTTTCTTGGCTTACGGAAGAAACGACTTGGGACAGAAATATAAAGAAAATGAAATATGCAAATGTGAGAATAAAATATGGAAATATTTCTAAGTGTTTCTTGACTTACCGAAGAAACAACTTAGAGCAGAGAATAGACAAGAGAATAAAATATGATAAAATAAATGCACAAATATTTATAAGTGTTTCTTGGCTTACGGAAGAAACGGCTTATAATAGAAACAAGGAAGTCAAGTACAGAAAAGATGTGAAAATATTGCTAAGTGTTTCTTGACTTACGGAAGAAACAACTTAGCATAAAATGGAAATAAAAAAATAGTCAATTATATGAAGTAATATCTTAGATAAAATATCAGAAATAATAATGCAAATATGAAAAATATTTCTAAGTGTTCTTTTGAATCACCGGAAAAGAACGACTTAGACACACACAAATTAACAAGTCAAATAAAATATCAAAGCAATATTTCTAAGAGTTCTTTGACTTACCGGAAAGAACTACTTAGATATCAAGTAAAATCAAATATATAAAACAAGACAAATATTTCTAAGTGTTCTTAACTTACGGAAGAACAACTTAGATACAAAACACAAGAAAATAATCAATCAAAATAATCAAATAAAATATCAAACAATAAGTACATGAACAAATATGTAATATTCTAACCTGAAAAGGTATGAATATACAATAATGCTAAAATAAAAATGGTATATAGGATATCAGAAATAAAACAATAACTTAGTTGGAACAATAATAGCACCGACTAGGTCTACAGTAGAAGAGGCAAGCTCGACTGACCGATGAGAGAAAATCCACCTGCTTTTATGTAAAACAAATCCTTTGTTTTACACAGCAAAAGTGAAATTTCCTCCGCATCGAGCCAATCAGAAATTCGGATTTGGCCACACTTGGAATTCCCAAGTATTTGTACCAATCTCCGAATTTCTGATGCGTCCGACACGGCTGTCAGCTCCTGACTGACACGCCTCCGGAGACACTTTGTTTCATTTTTTCTGGAGCCCAAAATTGACATCCTAGTAAAATTTAACTTGTTTGTATGATAATATAAGAGGTTAAATCTCTGGACTATTATATTAATCTTTCGTTTAATATAGTTAGATAATTTTTAGAATATTTCGTTAATTTAGTTTTTCAAACCTATTTATTTAAGGATCTCCAAGACCAGCAAGATGAAGGACTTGAAATAACAGAAGATGATTTATTCGATACTGTTATCTATGTGGATGCCAAAGGCTTTATGAACTATTTCAAGGATGCACTATTTCCAAATTCGCTTGGGCGATCTCTTGGATTCGATCAACACGAAATAGATTTAGCTAGATCTATACCAGGAACAATATTTTGTAATTTTACGGATGAGGAAGATAATCCCATTTCCTGTGAGGTAATATTAATTAGTACTATTTTATACACAATTGCGCAAATAATAGAAAAAATTTATTTATATTGCAACTTAATGATGAACTTGATGAGTTTCAGAAAAGGTTCTGAAACATAAATTTTTTATTATTAAACGCATTTCTAATGCTGTAATTATATTTAATTAAAGTTTGTAATATTGGGTGTTGAATTTGGATGTATTTATCAACGAAGGATACTTTGATGTGACTATTTTTATTATTTTCTTTCTCAATATAATTCTTCCCTTCCATTTATCCTTCAGTTGTCAGATCTGGATTACTTATATTACCTTGTATTCACCCATGGTTTCATTTTTTGTTATTTTCTGCCATGAGTTTTATTTCTTTGATTGTTTTCTGCTTCATTTTCCCCTCCCCTACAATTCGCTGTATCCTTTTTTCTGGTTCTAAAATTTCTATTCATTTCTGGCAGTTTACGTAACCGTTGAGCTTAAAAGCCGCTTCATTTAAAAAAATACCTTTTCCATGAAATTCTCATTTCTGTTAAATCGTTCAATAATGGTTTCGCAGAGTTGGATTCTTTTATCAGAGTTATTTTCTAACAGCTCCTGGACCAGATATACAAATGTCACTTCTCCTTTTTAAGGACTCTAACCACAGTTGATTGATAGACATTATTATCTAGTGAGACCTGCCTCGAACTATTATGGAGATGTTATTGAACGCTAGTACAACGTCCAGTTTCTTGGCTTCTGTTATTGAAATCCACTTCTAGGGAGATAATATATAATATGTACATATAGTTCCCCAATTACCTAATCTCAACGAATTATACTCCATTCTCTAATAGAATAATGACACTATAACTTCAGTCAAATAAACAAATTATAAATATTATACAAGTATATGCTCCTACGGCTGATAAAGATGATGATGAAATTGAAAGTTTCTATTACGATCTGGAACAAATTCTAAAATCAATGAAGAAACATCATACTACAGTAGTAATGGGCGATTTTAATGCCAAAATTGGACGTGGATGTGTGGACGGTTATGTGGGTGACTATGGATTAGGAGAACGAAACGAACGAGGAGACCGTATGGTACAATTTTGTCAAGCGGAGGAGTTAGTAGTTGCTAACACTCTTTTCAAGTTACCTAACAGACGACTGTACACATGGAAATCTCCGAGTGACACCAAAGGTAGAGTAGTCAGAAACCAAATTGACTTTGTCCTTGTTAGCCAAAGATTCCGCAACTCTATACTCTCAGCTAAAACCTACCCAGGAGCAGATATATGCTGGGATCACAATCCTGTAGTAGTCACGTTAAGAATAAAACTAAAGATCATTAAAAAACACATACAGAAACAAATTGACGTGAGAAGACTGAATGAACAACATATAAAAGAGACAACAATAGTGAACATTAAAGAAAATTTACAAAATATAGAGAAACTGAATAGAAACACTGATAACATAGACCAAAAATGGGAGAATATTAAACATGCCGTAATGTTGGCAGGGAGAGAAAATTTAACACCGAAAGAAAGGAAACATAAAGAATGGATGAATGAGGAAATACTACAGTTGATGCGTGAAAGAAGGGTACACAAAACAACTAATCCGATAAGATACAAAGAAACAGATAAACTGATAAAAAAGAAAATAAGAGAATCTAGAGAAAGATGGCTAAGTGAGCAATGCCAGGAGTTGGAACAATTGGAGCGAAACTATGACTTTTTTAATGTACACAAAAAGATTAAAGAAATGACAGGAAGAAGAAGAACAACACAGACAGGACAGATCAAAGATACAGATGGTATAATTATAACAGATTTACAACAAAAAATGAACCGATGGACAGAATACATATCACAACTGTTTGATGACAAAGATAGACAAGAAATCTCACACGAATATACAGATGATACAGGGCCTGATATAATCAGAGAAGAAATAGAATATGCAATCAAACAAGCAAAAAGTGGTAAGGCCCCCGGTCCTGATGAAATTCCGTAGAACTGCTCAAACTTATGGACGATGAATCTATTAAAATACTCCTAGATCTATTTAACACAATATATAGAACTGGAATAATACCTAGGGAATGGCTCCGTTCGACCTTTATACTACTGCCAAAAAAGGCAAATACAAAGGAATGCAACGAATATCGTACGATAGCTTTGATGAGTCATGCTCTAAAACTGTTCTTAAAAATAATCCATAATAGGATCTATAGGAAATTAGACGTAGACATCAGTAACACTCAGATGGGATTCAGAAAAGGGCTGGGTACAAGGGAGGCTCTGTTTGCAATGAACGTTCTCTCACAGAGATGCTTAGACTTGAACCAAGAAATTTACGCCTGCTTTATTGATTTCGAAAAGGCCTTTGACAAAGTACAACATGAACCACTAAGACAAGTTCTAATAAAGAAAAATATAGACAGCCGAGATATTCGAATTATATGCAATCTATATTGGAATCAAACAGCAAATGTCAAGGTTGAGGGCAGACTAACAGAAGAAATTCAAATCCGTCGAGGAGTCCGGCAGGGATGTATCTTATCGCCACTTTTATTTAATCTGTACAGTGAAGCTATCTGTGAACAAGCACTTGAGGAAGAAGATCTTGGTCTGATAATAAATGGTGAGACGATCAACAATATAAGGTATGCTGACGATACAGTTCTCCTAACGGGAACGCTAGTAGAACTACAATATCTCGTTCAAAGTCTCAATATATACTGTAACAGTTACGGCTTGAAAATTAATTTGAAAAAAACTAAATTTATGGTAATCACGAAATCAAAGAACATCAGAGCTAATCTTGTAATAGACAATACAACGATTGAGCGTGTGCCCTGTTATAAATATCTAGGTGCTTGGATCACAGACGATACTGATCAAACAAAAGAGATTAGATGTAGAATAGAAATCGCTAGATCAGTCTTTAATAGAATGCGCAAACTCTTTCGCAATCGTGATATCAATATAAAGTTACGAATACGAATGCTGCGGTGTTATGTTTTTTCTACCCTGTTATATGGAGTTGAGGCTTGGACACTAAAACAGTTGACCATAAAAAACATTGAAGCTTTCGAGATGTAGTGCTATAGGCGCATTCTCAGAATATCATGGATGGACCGCGTCACTAACACGCAAGTACTCCAAACTTTAGACAAAAGATGCGAAATTCTAAATGAGATAAAAACTAGAAAGATGGAATACTTGGGGCACATTGTGAGAGGTGAAAAGTACGAACTTTTAAGAAACATCATGCATGGCAAAATTAAGGGCAAAAGAAGTGTGTGAAGAAGAAAAATATCGTGGCTTCGTAATCTACGTGAATGGTTCGGGTGTAGTTCGATTGAACTTTTTATGCGCGCTGCTAACAAAGTGGCAGTGGCCATGATGATTTCCAATCTCCGCTAGGAGTGGCACGAGAAGAAGAAGAACGAATTATATCATGTAGGCTCTATTATGAAAATTACAGGGTGGAATTTTGAAATTATACAGTGTACAAACCATTTAAGGACGGTGTCCTTATTTTAGAAAATTATAAAATTTTTTTGGACACGTCAACTTTTACATTCAAATGCGCGCTTTTTAAATGTAAATTTAACTGTACAGGGTGATTCGCGCAAATTTAGTATAGCCGTCATCTTTAGTTTTATTAGAATACCCTGTCTCTTTTTTAATTTTTTAAAAGCTCCCTAACAACCTGATCTTAACAAACTTTATATATAGAGACTATTATAAATAATACGAAGTGACATTTTGAAATAATGTATATTTTCTTAGTTAATTTATATTGATTTATACTAATTTATATATAAATATATTGATACTCAAATTAAAAAAGTCAGTTTTTGGCTAGTTTAAAAAAATACCATTATTTAAAGCATAATTCAAAAATTCACCTTGTATTATTCACACCGTACATAGTATACTTTTTTGAGGCGAAACTGTTAAATAGGTTCTAGAATCATATACAGGTTGTTTAATTAAAAATAAAGCTGATGAACTATACTACTAAACATGCGTAAATCATTATGTATTTAAATTTATTTAATTGAAATGAGGTTGAATGCTCGAATAAATGAAATTTGAAAATAAGGCTATTATCGAGCACAAGTTAATTAAATCTAGCCCAAGTACTTTCGCTTAAAATAGCATCTTCAGGGGCATTTCGTCAAAATATAAACTATCCGGCAAGCGTAGAATGTGGAAACATTAATAATAACATAAAATTGTACAAAACACTACACTAAAACGAGGACAAACAGTTTAAAATTACTTTAAAGATTCTACACTACATTCTTTGTCAGTACCTGGAGGGATAATGTATTTATCCTCCATTATCCCTCCAGATACTGACAAAGAATGTAGCGTAGAATCTTTAAAGTAATTTTAAACTGTTTGTCCTCGTTTTAGTGTAGTGTTTTGTACAATTTTATGTTATTATTAATGTTTCCACATTCTACGCTTGCCGGATAGTTTATATTTTGACGAAATGCCCCTGAAGATTCTATTTTAAGCGAAAGTACTTGGGCTAGATTTAATTAACTTGTGCTCGATAATAGCCTTATTTTTCAAATTTCACTTAAATTTATGTTTAAAAAGCCCATATTATGTGAATTTAAAAGTTGACGTGTTCAAAAGTTTATTATAATTGTTCAAACTAAGGATACAAAACATTTTATTCCACACTTTATCATTTTACCCTGTATTATTCATCATAGACCCTACATGATAAAGTTCGTTAAAATCAGGTTGCTAAGCAACTTTTAAAAATATAAAAGTAAACAGGTTATTTCATTAAAAGTAAATCATATTATGGACTATGCCTTTTTTATGAGAAGGTGGTGGTAAATCTTCTGAAGACCGTACCAGGCCGTACATAGCTCCCTACCTATCAACTAAATTCCACCCCCTCAATCGGGACTATTCATGCGATAGGTCCTCTTCAGATCGGGACATCACATGAATAGTCTTTCTTCTCTTTCTCTCTCTCCTCTCTATCTCTCTCTCTACCTCTCACTCTCTCTCTCTCTCTTGCTCACATCTCTCTTACCTTTTCTGATTATTTGAGTTACAGTTTCCAGTATTATTTTCTATTCAGTCTTTACGTCATTGCTACCTGCATGACATTTTTGCGCCTACCCTACTACCTATAAAATAATAGGCTACAGCTGGTGCCGTTTCTCGTATCCTAATTTCCAGCGTTATCTATCGAAGCAATCTTCAGTTTTTAAATCGCTGGCGATCATTGCATCTTCGACATCTTCTCCATGACCGTCTTGGTCTACCATGTTCTCTTTTAGTGGGCGGAGTTCATTTTTCTATCTTTTTTGGCCATCTATTTTCAGGCATTCTCTGCAGTTGTCCATACAAGTTTACTCTTTTGGCTTCGATAGTATCTATTATGTCTAGGTCAATTTCCATTTCTCTCCTAATGTCTACGTTCCTCGCCCTATTAAGTCTACTGTGCTAGCAACATCGTCTCCAATAGTCAATTTCATTTGATTTGTTTTTTGATTGATTTTCTAAAGTTCGCGCCATATAACCCAATACATTCTTTTATTGTTTTATAAATTCTTCTTTTATTTTCTTTTGTTATTTTAATATTCCATAATAGTCCGTGTAGCTGTCTAATGGTTGATCTTGCTTGGCCAATCCAAGAATGTATTTCTTCGGTACTTCCTGCTTTTGATGTTATTTGGACTCCCAAGTACTTAAGGTTTCAGTTTATCCGATCTACCTTCCTGTGTAATTTAATTCTGTCTATTGAAAATTTTACACTCGAGTAGACAGTGCTCGGCCATACCAGACACTCCACATTCTGCGAAGTTTGCATTCGCTACTTTATCTATTCTTTCTAGGTAGGCCCTGATAGAGCCGTGCCTGTTAAAAACTCGGTAAAAAACCATACTGTAAAAAAGTAGTTAGTGTCCTATCGCCGCATTTCATCCAGTCTGCAATATTTGGAATTAATATCCTTGCCCAGTACAATCCGTAGGTTTCCGCCGTTTCCTTCACTATCACGCAGATGGGTCATAACACCTCCGCAATCACTTGTATGACCACCGTTGATGTTGTTCTGTATGCACCTGCTAACCTTAGCAGTGCTTTTATAAGCTTTTTCTAGCATTCTCCTATATTTCTCTATTTTAAGCACTTGTTGCCATACCGGTGGAGCATAGAGTATAGTAGAGTAGATCATTTCCATTAAAATTCTCCTTTTGGAAGAACCTTGCCCTCCCACATTGGGCATAATCCGTGTCAGCACCGAAGTTCTCTCCTCTGCCTTGCGAATGATGTACTTCACGTGCTTACCAAAGGTTCGTCTCGTATCCAGGAGTACACCCAAGTACTTCACTTTTTTGGCAGGTAAGCTTTAGTGCAAAGCTATATGGTCTCTGTTCAGTACCACCAGGTTGTCCGCATACGCAATTGCCTGTACACCAATGCCCAGGACAGCTTCCAAAATCTCGCTGTAAATAACATTTCAAAGCAATGGCCCCAGGATGGAGCCTTGTGGCACTCCCACTGTGGTCCTCATAGAGTAACCTCTCGCAATATTGATGTACCTATCCGTAAAGTAATTACTGACCAAGTTCTGTAAATAGGGAGATATCTTCAAGTCACCCAGAAGCCTGACGATAATTTTCCAGCTAGCGCTATTAAAAGCATTTCTTATATCGAGAAATGATCCATTTGTTCCTACATATGGATATCTCTCTCTTGATTCTGCTTATGGCGTCTACCGCACATTTTTCTTTCCTGAACCCATACTGGCGGTCGGATATTCCACCTTTCTTCGTTATCTCCCTCTTTAGCCTTGTCTTCCGAAGAAACTCAAATACCTTGCCTATGGAATTTTAACAGGCATATAGGTTTATACGTCGCAGGCTCCTCTAATTCCTTTCGCGGTTTCGGGATAAATATGAGATTTGCCATTTTCAGGTCTCGTAACTTCTCTCGTAAATTCAGCCACGGGTGTCTCTACTTGGAGTGGCGTAAAGCTTACGTCCTCCCTCTGTGGAAAAAGGGTCTTAGCGAGTTATTCCTTCGGCTCTTCTCGTTCTTAAAGAAACCTCCTGTCCTTTAAAATTTGTGACAAATATTAGGTAGGCGTCTCCCCGAATATCTCTTTTAAGATTTTCGCAAAGTTCTTTCCATCTTCTCTTTTCGCCATTTATTTCTCGTAGTAGCTCTTTATTCATGGCTTTTAGTTTTTCTACCCACTCTTCTATCGCGCGGTGTCTCTCGTAACTTTTCTTCTTAGCCGTAGTAGCCTTTTCTTATTTCTCAATCGTCTCCGTCCACCATTAGGGACGACTGCATCTTTCTGCCATATCTTTTATTTTCTCGTATCCATTTTTGAAGTTTGAGGCGTGAATCTCCATCTCTGGATTTCTTGAGTCTTATCTTGTCAAGATATTTGACCTGCCTCCCTCCCTTGATTTTGTAAAGTTTTCTCTAATTTTAAACAAAATGTACTTATGATGAGTAAATATTTCTTCATCCAGGACGTGCCACTCTGCCACCTTTATACTTATCGATATCGTTGCATTGTGACGTCGATATGTGTCTAACTTTCTCCCCTGACGAATGTCGCCTTACCGTTGTTGAGTACTACCATATTTGATAACAAATTAATAGAACCATATATTTTACCTTTCACTCTAACCGGTAAAGTTTATTTAGTTTTTTTAGAAAATATTTTACCAATACTGCTAGATGATGGTGCTTTACCACATTACAGGCGCATAGATTTTTTATCCGACAATTTTTCCAATAGAGGAATTGGCAGAAGCGGTCCTCATGTTTGGCTTTCACGATTATGCATGTGATTTTAGCTACCGATTATTATGTTTGGTTACATTTCAAATCCAACTAAGAACTTCTTGAAGACGCCTTTCAAGAAATGAAAGACGTGAAATGAAATATCGAGTTTGACGAGATAATAGAATCGTTTTATTTTTGATCAAAAAACCTGATATCCCTCTCACTAGTATAAATATACATATAACTTTTTTAGGTTATTCCATCAGTATCTATACCCTGGCCCGCAGAACAGACAATTGAATTCATAATGCGAGAAGATCGCCCGACAATAACAGATACATCAACAGGATATCGCTACAAGTGGCCTACAGATGACATGATCAAAGAAATCTGTACGTTTAATTGTGTTGCTGTTCCAAAAGGTTACTGGAAGAAGAGGGGACAGTATTCTGAAGCTACTCTGGAATGGGAAATTGCATTTCCTAAAGCTGAAAGGTACATAGAAGCTCGAATGTCTAATGCTCAAATGAGGTAAGCAAATAAAAGCATATTTTAAGCTAGGCAAGCTTAAACTTTCAATGGCAAATGCGATTTACTACGATTTATTTTTACCAAATTTTTTTGTGTGGTCGATATTTTTCGAGTTAAGATGGAAAATATACAATTTTTATTTCTTCATTTTTTGCTAAAAAAATCAATATTTAAGGTCTGGTATCCAAGGTTCTCTGCTGTTTATGGTCTGCTGCTGGTGACATCAGCGTCTAGGGGCCGTTAATCGTTTGTGCCTCGTTAGGCTTGTAATAGGCCTAGGACCTTAAATATTGATTGTAGCACAAAAATCAAAGAAATCAAAATTGTATAAAATAATAAGATAATTCTATCCATTTTTTATGTACCTACAATGATTTCGTGAAGTTAATAATAAACGAGATTATTTAATAATTATACTTACCTAATCACTATTTCCACCCTTAACATATTCACTGCCAAACTCCATTTTTTAAATTTTATAACGCCTACAGGTCAATTTTATGTTCTGAACTTAAAGAAAAATATTCAAGAAATTCTAAAGCTTTTCACAATAGCCCTGTGTCTAAAATTTTTTTTGTTCCAATTTTGGGGCATGGCCATAAGTATGAAATAAAAAATCAACAACGTCAATTTAAACTTTTATTGACATTTGACATTTATTGATAAAAATATGTTTACATTTTGAGAGGATCTATGTTTGTTTTACAAATTTTGCATCTGTTTTGTTTTAAGGCAATTGGATAATGCAGAACCAACATGTGTTGTGTAAGGGATTTGGAATTTTTCGAAATAATGTTCGTAACTTTACCTTATCGCGCTTTGGTTGTGGATGGCTGAGTAGTAGATATGTTGTCACAATGTTTCTTGTAAACTAAGATTTCTAATAAATCCAATGGACGCATACTTTCAACAAATTCATCAGCATTAGAGTGAATTTTATTGCGGTGTTGAATTATATATACAATCCATGCGTTAGAGCTTGAAGCAGATAAAGGTGAACACAAATTTGCCACCACCGTTTATTGTTATGCAGTTTTGGTCTATAGTTAGCAATATTTCTATCCATTAAATCAATACCTCCCTTATGAGCATTATACTGCTGAATTGCATAGGGAACGTCCACCATTATATATTTTTTTCTATTGCAGAATAACGACGTACCGATTTTGTAGGTTGAACGCCTTAACAATTTGAAGCCACGTGAACGAAGGCATTATTCTTCCACAGGATAATTATTATATCTTCATCAGAACTTGTATATGAATCAACGGATCCTCTAACTGAGGATTTCATTGCGTTTTTATTCAACGCGCATTTCCCAATTCTATTATGTCTAATAGTGCCCGTGCAACCATATCTCAATTCATTCATGTCCCTTATCAGTAGAAGTCCAGTAAAGAGGTTTCAATGAAAAAGTAAAATTTTTGATCTGCAAAATTATGCTTAATCGTCTCGGTAAAAGTTATAACTATAGATTATCTTATCCCTAAATTACTCTCTCCTATTAAGGTTCCTTTCCTTTTGTAAGGTTCGGGGTACCCACAAGATAACCATTTGATACATTCTAAGACCAAAATTTAAACCCATATCTAATAGGTTTTCCTTGAATGTGCTGTTTACAGCTATGGCAGGGTGTAGTACGATACCATGGATTCATCAACAAATACTGATATGGTTTCACTAACCGGCATATATTTTATAAATGAATTGTTTAAATGTTCTATGAGTGGTCTTACTTTAGCAAACTTATCATTTTTTGTAGCTGAGTGTTATCTAAAAAATGTAATTTTTGCAAAATTTCTCTAAACCTATTTCTCGACATTGCGTTAAGGATTGCGTCATTTCTGTAATCCAAATTTAAACTCAAGTTCATATTTTTTCTGGACTTTGAGAATAACCAGATATCAGTAGGATTGCAAAGAATATTTTGAGTTCTTCAATTGTAACCTAAAATGATGTGTTTGAATTTTTGTGTCGGGCATACTTTATGGTCTCGTCTTCTATGTATTCAAAGAAATTCTCACACCAAAAAAGTGTAAAGAAATCGATTGTACTTTCACAGTGAACACTATTTCAATTTGAAAGTGAGATATTTTCTTGATGTGTATCTTGGGACAAGTCACCTCTTTTCCAGTCGTTTTGTCTATTTGATTTATTTGTTGTTTTATTATATTGAGCCACATTTATTATGTTCATCATCGCTCGTCGAGAACATATCTTCAGTCTCTGGTGTCTCACATTGTGAAATAAGAGTAACCTCAGCTAGGGCGTTCAGTATCTATGTTGAAAACCTAAGAAAAATCATTGAAATTCACATCATCCTCTCTCCGAATCTCCATCAGAATCTTCCACTCGAGGATAAATGTATATGTTTGCAGAATCAAACTGCTTCTCATTTAGGTCTTCGATTCGATAGTCCAGAGTATCAGCTGAACAACTCAATTTCTTTCCACAAAATGTTTTTACATCCATAATTCCAAACTAAAAACAAAACCTTACTTAGCCACATATACAGCCAAGTTTCATTTTTGGAACATACAACAACTAGAGGTACTCGGTATATTCAATTTGAGGTTAGGCATTTAAACGATACAGATATATTGTATAGTCTCTTGTCGTCTTTACTACACTATTTATTGTCTTTCGGCTTATATGATCGTTCCATTCTACTTTTCTATTTCTTACCCAGTTCTTGATGTTCTCCGCCTTGCATCTATGTCATATATATGTACGTCTAGCTCTGTCCCATAGTGTCTTTCTATCATTTTTTCCAGTGTTTTTATCTCTGCTGTTTCTAACATCCTTTTTGTCCTCTTTGTGTGAGGTCGTGTTTCTGCCACGTATGTCATTATTTCTCTGATGACTGTTTTGTAAATTCTGCCCTTAATTTTTTTTCGATATTTTTATTTCTGCAGATTGTTTCATTTAGGCAACCTGTGGCTCTGTTTACTCTATTCACTTAATCTTCCACTTCAGTTTTAAGCTTTCAGTAGCTAGATAATGTGATATCCGATATTGAAACTCCATCACTTGTTTTATTATCAGACCTTCCAGTTCCAATTGACATCTTAGTAAATTTGGTATTATAAACATGCATTTTGTCTTTTTCGGGGAAATTTAACATGTTAAATTTTTATATAAATGCGGTTATATTAAATTGGTGTAGCATACGTTGTAAATCATCTTCATTTGAGAGAGTTGTATTGCGTCTATTTTAAGTTGCTTTTCTCTCATTTGGTATTCTTTTTAGTTCTTACTTTTTTATTATTTTATCCACAATCAGGTTGAATAATAGAGGACTCAGGGAACTTCCCTGTCTTATCACATTGCCAGCTTCAATAGGGTCGGTTAGTTTTTCTTCTACTTTTACTTTTATTATGTTGTGTTGGTAGATATTTTCGATTGTTTTGATTATTCCTAGAGGTATCTCTCGTGCGTAACATAAGTGGATAACGTCTTTTAATTTAACCCGATCAAATGCCTTCTTAAGGTCCACGAATTGTAGATATTCCGATTGGTTGTATTATAATGATTTCTCTTGCACTTGCTTCATTATAAATATAGCGTCGGTGCATGATCTTCCTCTCCTGAAACCTTGTTGTTCTTCTGCTAGTACTATAATTTCATTCAGTTTATTTGTTATCCATTCCTCCTATGAATTCCTCCATTCTTGAGGAATTCTGTTTTGTTCTATTGTTCTTTGGATTAGTTTAAATAGTTAATTGGTCAGATCTGGTCCTCCGTACTTTACGAGTTCGTTCGGTATTCTGTCCTCTCCTGGTAATTTTCTATTTCTTAATTTCCTTTATGCTTTCTTTACCCCTTTCTTATCAATATTTCTTTCATTGTTTATCGTCATCGTTATCGTGTTGGTGGTTCATTATCGTCACCTTTAGTAAATAGAGATCGAAAGTAGTCTACCCATGTTTTATTTTGAATGTGTTTTGTTTTTATTAGTTTGTTCATCTCTTTGTCCTCTGATTATTCTCCATATTTCTTTTTGTGTTCCGTAGAAGTCGTGTTCCATCTGCTTCCATCTGAAGCTCTGCTAGTGTTCCTTTTTTATTTATCTAGCTAAAGTATTTGTTTCATTTATGATTCGTTTATAGTGGTTATCTAGCTGTTATTTTGATGACGTCTGGCTGTGTTGTTGGCATCCATCTTTTCGTCCACTGCTCTTGCTTATTGTAGCTATCACCCATTCCCTGAACGGATTGGACAGGGGGTCGTCTGGACTTCAGTCTTTGTTGGTCTCGTGCGGCGTGCGGAATATACTGGTGAATTGGCAGACGATTATTTGCCATGATTTTCTGATATTCTCTGACAAGTGCTGCCGTTCGTCGAATATCTGGAGGTGCTATATTGCTCAGAATTGGAAGCCATCTTAGTGGAGTTGATTTAATACTACCAGATATTACTCTCATAGTGTAATTTAGTTGAACATAAATCTTGTTGACATGAGCGCTATTTAGCCATACCGTGTGCGCAGTATTCAGCGACAGAATACACCAGGGCAGTGAGGAGGTTCGAAGTGTATCCGCAGTGGCACCCCATGTCGTTCCAGCAAGCTTTGTTATTATGTTGTTACGGGTTCTCACTTTGGCAGCTACATTCGTAAGATGGGTTTTGAACGTCAGTGATCTGTCGAGCGTTACACCAGGTATTTAGGGTTGTTATTATGTTTCAAAGTCTCGCCATGAAGGTGATGCTAAGAGACCTTCAAGATTTTGCAGAGTGTTCTCCTGGTGCAATTGAATGGCTGTGCAACTTGGACATTAATATTTAATATTTAACTTAGGTTACAATTCCAATTTGAACATAATTATTATCTAAATACTACTTTTATCGTATTGTAATTATCCATACGCTAAATAATAAATAAATCTAGCTGTTGTGTTTGTTGTGTTGTGTATTGTAAAAAGGCTTTCTTCTTTTCTTTACGTGTTGTCTTCACTTCATCTCTAAACCATGGTGTTTTCTTTTTTGATATGATGGTGTTCGTTACTTTCCTCTCTTTTGGGTGGGAAGTATTCAGGATGATTCTTATTTTACATAATACTAGGCTATGGTCACTACCTACATCTGCTGAGTTGAGGCATCTTACGTCTATTATTTTTGATAGATATATATCTCTGTTGGTTATAACATAATCTGGCATAGATCTTTGTCCACGGGTGTTCGAATAAGTTCGTTATTCGTGCAAAATTTTATTATTAGTTCTCTATTTTCGTTTTTAACACTCTCGTTATGTTTTTGCTTAATTCCGGGTATTACTTGATTACCTATTCGAGCGTTAAAATCCCCCATTATTTTTATCTTCCCTTTGACTTGATCTACCATTTGTTGTAATTGGTCATAAAACGTTTCCCTTGTTGTTTGATGGTTGTTATTTTCTTCGCCGTATACTCCGATGATGTTCAGGTCTTCCTTCTCCATTCTTATCTTTGCTGTTATAATCCTTTCAGATATGTATTGACACTCTTTGATGTGATTTTGGTACCTTGATGTATTTGTAAGGCTACACCTTCTTTGGCCCTGTATTTTTTGTTACTTAATTGTAGATTAGTCTTATTCACCTAATTTTGATTGTCCTCTTATTTTGTTTTTTATTTCCAGGAGAGTACGAATGTCTATTTCTTTCTTTTTCATTACTTGGGTTATTTCTTGGTCCCTTGAGTTGAGAGATCTGATATTCCAAATAATAATTATTATCTGGGTTTTGGATATTTTCATAGTATCAATCCGGTTCCGAGGCTGTACATTGTTTCTTTGAGCAGTATTCGTTTTTACAATTGGTAGGTTGCTAACCTTGCCAATCACTATCCAAAATTTTATATCGGGCTTGGAACCGGCTGTGATATCCTCAGAGCTACTCAATCCACCCCGCAATCACACCAGGCAGTGTTAGATAATGTATATGGGTGAAATAAATAAAGGCTTTATGCCAATTGGTACGCTGAATAAAAATAAATATTTTTTACATTATTTGAATATCTTTTATTTTCACGTTTATGAGTAACATTATAAGGTACCTGAATACAATATGCCCATGTTGGTAATATGCCCATTTCCATGTTTTGCTTTAATATTTGATATTCGGGGAAGGAGGCGCTGGACACACTGAACGCCTAATATAACTAAGCCCGTAACCGACCTCAAGCAAGGTAGTTGTGAGCTTGCCGTGGTGCAGTCAAGTTGTACGTGGTTTTAAGAGCGTGTTTATAAAAATTGATCGTCATGTTTATACATCCTCTGTTTTGCACTTAAACGTTTTAATTTGTCTACGACATTAAGTGATTTTAGTCTGCCATAGAGTACTTAAAATGTAAGTAAAAATAAAATATATTATTATTCAAAATGTTTTTATAATTTAAGAAAATGTATTAATCATCATGTGTCAACAATATGCCCATAGTGTATGCTGACAATTTGCTCAATTGGGTATATTGCCAGCTAATTATAACAGATAATTTATTGATTTTTTTTGTTTTAGATAACATGCCTCGTGTCAGAAATAAGGAAATACGGTCGCAATGGAGCAATCAACAGCTAGAATCCGCAATTGCAGCAGTAATGAATGGAATGTCATACAATGCGGCAAGTAAAGGGTATAATATTTCTAGACGCACTTTGAAACGCTATGTAGAAAAAAATAGTACCAAAAAGGCAAAAATGGGGAGAAAGACTATTTTGAATATAGATCAAGAAAACGAATTGTCTCGACGAATTGTTAGATTGGCAGAAGTTGGGTATCCCTCAGCAATAAAACTTTAAAAAAATGTGTGTTTACTTATTGTGAACAAAAAATTTGCACACTTTTTTACAAGGAACGAAAATGGCTGGACGTTATTGGTTAAAAGGATTTTTGCAAAGACACCCTGAAATATCGATAAGGAAAGCACAAAACATGAATCCTGCTCGGGCTCAAAAATTGAACAAGTTCATAGTAAAGACCTAAAGGCAGTATGATGTGGAAACTTCATTATTGGTTGGAGCAGTTAGCAAAATATAATTGGAGGGAAGTGTCTTTTAATATTGATGAGCCTCATGTCACTTAGACATTTCAATTGTCGAAGCTGTCGAGAAATATCAATAACCCTCTGTGTTTGCCTAGCAACACAACTCATGAACTCCAGCGATGAACAAAGCTGTGTTTCGTTCCTTTGAACACCACTGGGACGAACAAGTGTTGGTGTATTGGACCAAATACAAAGAACGTGCTTTAACAAAGCAGCGATTTGAGGAAATATTTTCGATAGTGTGGGACAAGGCATTGACACCTTCTAACATTAAATCAGGCTTTGCTGCAACAGGAATATTTCCTTATAACCCGATGCTATACCTGAAGTTGCTTTTGCCCAAGTATTTTATCAGAAAATGAGAACATGATCCCACTCCATTAATGTACGCCAGAAAACACCATCTCTACTCCAGGCTGTTCATATAAATCCTCTCAACAAAAAAGGGTACCAAACTATCAAAAGACCAAGATTACAAAAAAAAAGAAATCTAGAACTGAAACATCATCAAGTGATAGTGATAGCGGACCCATTATGTACGCCAGAAAACACCATCTCCTACTCCAGGCTGTTCATATAATTCCTCTCAACAAAAAAGTGTACCAAAATATCAAAAGACCCAAGATTACAAAAAAAAAGAAACCTAGAACTGAATCATCATCAAGTGATAGTGATAGCGGACCCATTAATCTGCGCCAGAAAACTCCACCACCAACTGCAGGCTATTCAAAAAGCTCTTCCCAACAAAACTGTTTGCCACAATACCAAAAGACGCCAATTCACATGAAAAAGAAGTCTAAAACACAAACTTCATCAAGTGAGAGTTCTGGCAGTTATACTTCGGAATCAGAAGACAGCGGCGAAGAAGTTGAATTGGCAATAAATCAGTTTCATAAAAAAAGGAAACTTTCCTTATGAATTCTGAAAAAAATGATTTGGAGGTTTATAACAAAGAGAATAACAATCTTCGAGAAGAAAAAAGTAATACTGAAGAAATAAAAACTTGCCAGGGCAAAACTTTGGACACATCGTTTACGGAAATGCTTGAGACTCCGGCAAAAATTGAGAAAAAAAATACACAAAATAGAAAGAAGGCAATAAATAGCAGAGCTATAGTGGTAAAAAAAATGTATTTTCTACCACTAGCACAGGTCCACGAACAGATATAAATAAAGGCACGAAACAAACTCTACCAGGTTGTTTGGTAAAGAAAAACAAAAAATCAGAAGACGTAGCAAAATGGTTTTGCAAAATTTGCGACAAAGCTGAAATAAAAGACATGCGACTATGCTTTATATGTGTACAGTACGTTCATGAAGAATGTGTAGGGCTGACAAAATTCGATAAGGAATCCTTTACCTGTCCTGATTGTACCCCACAATAATGTTCCTTAATTTTAAGTTATTTCAGTTAAAAATTCTTTATTTTGACATTTTAGTTTTTACAAAAAGGATTGTTTAATATCTTTGTTTGGTTAAATGTTTTTTATAGTGTCAATAAATATAAGATTTTGTAAGTATATGATGTTTTTTAATATTTATTTCCACATCATTTAGTGTTTTAGGTAAGCGCATTTACTTCACTCGACGGGCATATTACCTTCAGGGGTTGGCAATATGCCCAGATTGAGGAGTTTTAAAAAAAAATTCGATATGAAAAAAAAAATAATTGCCAACAATAAAAAAACTAGCGATGTTTAAACACCTAAACATTGGTATAGTGTTAAAAAATATATGAAAAATATATTTTTGTAGCAATAAATTCAAAATTCCCTTAACATGGGCATATTGTATTCAGTTACCTTATAACTTTATTATAATTATCATTATCAATGAGTTTCTTAAAGTCTGTGAATTAAACCACTACTCAGTTAAAAACTTAACGATATAGTTTTGTATTTTTTTATTACAGGTGTTTCTTATTTTTGCTTGTCATCCACAAACACTACATAGAGCCAGTGACACAACGGAATGGGCTACTAGTCGAACACATACGATGCCACATGTATTGGGAATGTGAAGCTAATTCCAAAGACTGGCCTGAACATAAATTGGGTACCAAAATATTAAAAGTTATATCAAATTTTTATAAGCGACTATCTACTAGCGAATTACCAGACTTTTTCATTAAACAGAGAAACCATTTTAGAAATGTACCAAGAAAGTATTTATTATTTGCTCAGAAGATCTTCAATGAACTTATGCAGTCACCCATTGTATATTTTCTTAGAGCTTTAAGGTAAGTTAACAGTTTTCATACATTATTCATACTTTCCTTTCATAATGAGTTTTTTGTTGATATTTTTAATTTTTCACAAGAAAGCAAAAATTTCTGAAGTTGCTTTTTTTAGCCTTTCTTTTATGCGTTTTGCCGAATATAGACCTCTTTCTCTAATCAGTTATCTCCATTCATCCATATTGCATATGAGCCGTTTTCACATTGATTCTATAAATTTGTTAATGTCGTCACCTGAATACATTTGAGGTCTCCTCATGGTCTTTCATCTATTATTTCTGAGACATTTGTTGTTTCCAGCCTATTTAAACTTTTATTTTATTAGTAAAGTATGAACGAATAAAAGATTTGCCTGTCTAGCAGCTCTTTTATGTTTATTGTATTCCGTATTGCTTCATAAAATTAGTAATTCTGTAGTGAGATACCAAGTATCTTTCTTTTCAAGGCTTTCTTAATTATTCTTATCTTGTCAAGTTAGCTTTAGCAAATGTTCAGGTTTGAGCTCGATATATGTGCACAGGCAAGTTGTTTCTCAGCTTTTAAATTAGCGTGCTCCTGAAGGAGATTGACGAGACACAGATAGGTGACGATGGGAGTATAAACAGACCCATACACAATCTTTTCATGAACTTTCTACAGGCATATGATAGCGTAGAAAGAAGCCAAGTATGGAATGCCATGGCGGAGTTCTCAATACCAAAGAAACTCATTCAGATGACCAAAGTCTGTATGGAGGGTGGAATATCTAAAGTACTGTAAATAATAAACTGTCTGGCAGCTTTGAAATCAACAGTGGACTCAAACAGGGTGATGTGTTATCTCCACTACTTTTTAACCTTGTATTAAAGAAAGCCATGAGGTCGGCCGAAATAAAAACAGAATTGCTATCGGTTCAAGGTCCCAAGCTGTTACTCGCATATGCAGATGACATAGATCTCGTTGAACACTGCATCCTATCCAGGAAAGACATTTTCAACAAGGTGGAAGGAGCTACAAGTCAAGTAGGGCTGAAGATTAATGAAGAGAAGACGAAATATATGTGTATGAATAGAAAGACACGAAGAGACGGAATAGGACAAAATGTGACGGTCAACACCTTCAATTTCAAAAGAGTATAACGTTTTAAGTATCTGGGGGCCGTAATCACAGCTGACAACGATGTTACTGAAGAAATAAAAGACAGAATCCAATCTGCAAACCGCTGCCTATTCGCACTGGGTAAGCTCATAAAATCCAAAAATCTCACAAGGAGTTCAAAGATCAAAATCTATAAATCCATCCTCAGACCTGTAATAACATACGGATGCGAAACGTGGACCATGACCAAAGCAAACGAAGAAAAGCTCAGTCGCTTTGAACGAAAAATACTTAGAAAAATTTTCGGACCTCACCATGTCATCACCACAAACCAGTATAAGATCGGAACCAATATCGAATTAAAAGCACTCTATAATGGCGCCGATATTGTCCAAGAAATTAAATCACAGCGACTAAGATGGGCAGGCCACGTGCACAGACTGCATAACAAGAGACTTGTAAAACTGGTATGGGAGGAGATTCTCATAGGCAAAAGACCACTCGGACGTCCCAGAATGCGATGGAGAGATATCATTTAAGATATCATCCGGAAAATGAACATTCCATTTGACTCTAGGTTGATGGAAGACCGAACAAAGTGGAAAAAAGTACTAGCGCTACGTGATGATGATGAAATAGGTGACGCTCGTTTGTGCTTGTCTCTGCCTCGGTTACAGATCGACCTTAATATATTAGCATTGAAAGCAGTCATGAAAATACCACAATCGGTCTTGCCTTAAGAGTCCCAATGATCACTTGACGGTCTATGCCTATATTAATTTGCTTAAATCAAAGACTGATATGTTTTGTACAACTATGACAAGTCAAAAGAAAAGGCAAAAAAGTATTTTTGAAGTGTGTATATTTTTTAATAATTCCTAGCTGAGCGCTTTCGGCTTTACAAAGCCATCATCGGAGCTATGCTACAATAAAATGTTTTTATAAGTAACTAATTGGTGAAGATTTTAATTTTATACTTACGTCAATTTATAAATACCACTACAATGGAGAGATCTCATTTCCTTATTTGTTGAAATTTTGATTTTTTTAATTACTTAGTTGTTAAAAATTCTTAAAAAACATACAAAAAACCGACACGACTTCACAGACACATTAAAAAATTTTTGTCATGGTACGGGTGTAAGAACCTCATTAGTTTCCGTTCATTAGTTCTATTCTGTCTACCAACGCAATATTGTATAAATCTCTTCCTGGAATAGAGGTACATTTTCCTACTTTTTTTAAACATCCGATGTTTATTGCAATCTGTATCATTACAAACAATAAGCAATAGATATCATTTATGTACAATATCATAGTGGAAAGCCAGTGGCGAGAACACAGGTAAGACATATAAAATTATAAATTTAATCTACGACATAACAGTTAATTTAAACTTAAACAGTTGATCCACCGCATCCGAAAAGGGAACTACCACAATGTCAAAAATGTCAACATTTTGGCCACATACACAATTATTGCCACAGGGGTTCGCGCTGTGTAAAATGCGTGGCCGATAACCTATCGGTTCATTGTCCAAAACAAAAGAATATAAAAGACATTTAATGTGTAAATTGTCTAGAAAATCATCTTATCAGATAGAAGGGATATTCAGTATACACAGAGCTGCAGAAAAAAATTTTAACATTTCGACAAAAAAAAACGCAGGTCAACAAATTCGCGCTGTACTTGTCAATTACTCAACCAATTATCAGCCATGAGAAAATTGTTGCAGGAAGAGATAATAGAAATACATCTACCACAGATGAGACTTCTCATGTAATAGAAACAACCACTCATACGAAACAATGGAGAACTAGTAGTACATAAGTTAATGGAAAGAATGGATAAGATGTTTGATCTCATAATGTCTCTGATATCTAAGCTTAACCTTCAACACTAAATTAAAGATGTGCTATTAGAATGCCAATGGCTTATCCACTAATTTCCATGAAGTTAAAGCCTTCATTTACTCTCATAATCTAGATGTTATGTTTATTTCCGAAACACACATGACTAATAAGAGTCATTTCTATATTCTCAAATATTCAACATATGTAACTCAACGTCCATTAGGTAAAGCTCACAGAGCTACGGCAATTATTATAAGAAATAACATTAAGCATCATCAAATAAATAAAATTAGTAGCGTTCACATCCAAGCCACATCAGTGTCGGTCAAAGATTCACAAGGCCCGATTATTTTATCTGCTGACCCAAATTATGACAGACAATTCCTAAAGATAGGGTAACTGTCTCTAAACCTTTTTAAAAGGTAAGCATTGACTATGGTGGATATTTTTTAATAAAAAGCTCTAATAATTGGTTTTAAGTCTGACTACTCAGGATTTTCTATTAAAAGTCCTATTTCTATTTTAGCCCTGAAACGTCATTGCCCATAGGGGAAACCCTACCATTATTTATAGTGATAATGCAACTAACTTCTGTGGAGCACCTAATCAGCATGAATTTTTAATAACTAATGAAGAAAACATTAGTATAAAAAAATTTTGTCTAGGGAATTTCAGAAAAGTGCAAAGTTTCACATTTATCGATTACTTGGTAAAAATGTTGATACAGTGGTGTAGTGCAAATTGAAGCCATTCTAAACTCACGACTCCTTACTCAGTTATCTAATGACTCAAACGACATGGCATGCCTCACTCCGGGACAGTTTTTGATTGGCACAAGTTCAACTGTATACCCGGAGTTAGATGTTACTTAGGTTAATGAAAACATATTAAATGTGTACAAGAAGATTTCACAAATACAGCAATTATTCTGGCAAAGATGGGTAACAGATTATTTAAATCAGCTACAGCATAGACCGAAGTGGAGAACATGTACTAAAAATCTTGAGGTCAATGAGTTAGTACTGGTTAAAAATGAGGAAAATCCTCCATTACTTTGGCCTCTGGGTCGTATTGTAGAAACTTTACATGAGACGAGACAAAAAGGTTGGTCCGTCAAAGTAAAAACTTGGACAGGAGAATATGTGACACCAATCACCAAGATTTGTCGATTACCATCTTCGAATTTGTAGTTCTCCAGAATTTTGTACAAACATGTATTTATATATTCCTTTTATCGCTTTAGTATAGTTTAGTTTTGTAAGTTTAAGGTAATGCAATATTTCGTTAGTGAGGTGAATTGTTAAAACTCTTGATATGAGAATTAGTGACACACAATTTGGCTTTAGAAATGGTATGAGTACAAGAGATGCTTTGTTCGGCTTGAATGTGCTGGCTCAGAGATGCATGGATATGTACTTATGTTTTGTAGACTTTGAAAAGGCATTTGATAAAGTTCAACATAAAAAGCTTGTAGATATATTAAAAGCAAAAATATTGACAGTCGTGATCTGAAAATTATATCTAATTTATATTGGAATCAAACTGCCAAGGTAAGAGTTGACAGCCAGTACACCGAAAAATATCAAAATACAGAGAGGAGTCCGCCAGGGTTGCGTGCTATCCCCACTACTTTTCAATGTCTACAGTGAAGCGGTATTTCAAGAAGCGCTCTCAGACTCAATAGAAGGTATATCTATCAATGGAGAAGTTTTGAATAACTTACGTTTTGCAGACGATACAGTAATAATTACGGATAACAACAATGATTTACAGAACCTAATGCAACGCCTTAATGAACGCTGTCATGAGTACGGACTAAAGATAAATTTAAAGAAAACTAAATGCAAGATCATGACTAAATCTGCACATGCAAATATCCAATTGACTATTGAAGATACTGCAATTGAGAATGTTAATAACTATAAATATTTAGGAACTGGATAACATCAGATGTAGACCAAACCAAAGAAATTAAAACACGTATTGAAATAGCACGTACATCATTTATTAAACTTAAAAAGTTTCTTTGTTGTCGGGATATAAGGTTAGAACTACGCCTGAGAATGCTTCGAT